ATAAGGGATGTTTCTTTTTTTTAATCACTTTATCTTTGGTTTTGTTTGGCACTAGTGGAGTTAAACCAGCATAGTTTGAGATGGCATGAAGCATGAGATGGCACTTTGTCTTGTAAAATGACAGATGATGATGACAGCAGGAAAAAAAAGGAGTAAACTGAGAGAAACTGTTTAATGCACGTTTGGGTTTATATGTGTGTGTGTTGGGTGTGATTTATGGCTCTCATGGGGAATTCTAATTCTGTGTGTGACTGTGAGACCTCCGGTTTGGCCAGAAAAACGACAGTTAAAGAGTCAGTACCACACCTTACACAGCCGGGGAAAATACACACAAACTGACTAAATGCATGAATGAACTCATTGCTGTTTAGGAGTTTCTCATAATCTATACGCTTTTGTCATTTGTTAAATTCAAATCAGTCAACCAATCAATGCACTGTCAAGTGAATCAATAACTATCAAAGGCCAGTAGGTACGAATAGATAGGATCTATCTGTGTTATTGCTCTGAGCCCTTACTATGAATTTATTTTAGGGATGCACGATATATCGGCCAGCATATCGGTATCGACCGATATATGTTCATTTTTAATGTTATCGTTATCGGCCTGGTAAGAAAATGTGGCCGATATATTAAAACCGATAAATAATGTATTATTCCCTTCAGCTGAGACACTTGTTGAGCACTGTTTATGTTTTTGAATTTCTTGAAATATGATTGAAATCTCTTCAAAAACTGAAAATCTGGCAACGCAAATCTGTCATATCGGCTTATTCGGCTATACAACACTACAATGAGAACATCATTATAATTGTGCGCTTGGGACGTGAATTTAATTGTGAGACTTTTGTTTTTGTAATCAGGCTCTCAAAATTAGATAAAAATTTGGATTTAAGTTTATCGGCCGATATATCGGTTATCGGCTTTCAAATATAAAGAATTATCGGTATCGGCCAAAATTTTCATATCGGCGCATCCCTAATTTCTTTTTGACATTATTGTGGAAGTGAATGATCCAGCCTTCCCAACTAGTACAAAATTCTTTCTCTCAGGTGAATGGACCACAGATTGAAAATGTAAAATGACTTTTAGTACCGATATTTCAATATGTTACTTGACTTGGTGAGCAATTTACATAGTAATTCAACACATTTTGCTCTCAAGTTTCATTCTTCATTCATTTTATGCTTCTGTTTTCTGCTTTATAATGGAGCAGCATAATGACTTCAGCAGAATAACTTCTCACATGTTGTATTTTTTGTTTATGCTTGTTGTCAATTTTTGTATATCAAGTTAACACTGTGTGTGCTACTGGCTGTAAAGCAGCTGCTATGAGTTTAAAACATCACTACCCTTTTATAAAACAAGTACAGTATGTTGACGGCACCATTCTTCAGTGTTGTCAAATTAAATGCATGGTGGTTTGATGCACCTTGGTGAAGAGCTCTAGGGAGGGATCATCAATTAGGGATCTTTCAGTCTGAAAAGATGTTAAAGGGATAGTTCACTTTGAAATTAATTTTTGATATGTTTTGGCTCGAGGGCATCCAAGATGTAGGTGTCTTTGTTTCCGCAGTATTTTCAATTTTGATATTTTTAGGTCAAACCGTTTTTGTCTGTCAGTCATATAATGGAGGTATATGGGGTCCACCTCAAAGAGCATGCACAGAGAAGTCCAAATTAAACATGATTTAATGACTCGTAAATGTAAGTACACATTGATGGCCTAAGACACGAAACGAGCGGTTTGTGTGAGAAAACGAACAGTATTTATATCGTTTTTACCTCTTGTAACAGCCACATCCAACTGATCTGAAGGCACGGGCGCTTCGATCTGCGGAAGTGCCGGAAAGTGCCGGAAGTGATGCTTACCGGCTTATCAAATTTGCTATATAATGAAAGAAATTGTTTGTGATATCTAATTTTTTATCTAAATGCTGATATTGTGGCACAAGGTTGTATGTACATATTGGTATGTGGAATGGTGAAATTGGAAAAACAAACCAACAAGGTTTGTTACTAGATTGTATACTGTACATACACTACACTGACAGGCTTATGGATGTCATTTCTCCTGTATGTTTTCATAATGAATGGCAAAAATCTATGACATCCACAGGGACACAGGCTAATTACAATTGATTACTTTGAAAAGATGAAACCACATTTGTGTTTGTTTGTGTGGGTGTGTGAGTGTTTTCCTTCCAGTGAATGTTGGGAATGTTATGACTGTTCAGTGTTTGATTAACATTAGCTAATTTTTAACTTAATCATTTTCAAGGGGGAAAAAGCCTGTCGTTTTGGTGGTAACAGTCCTTTTTTTTTTACCTAAATGGTACATTTTTAAAAGGGTTCCACCCCAGTGACATCTTTTATATCTCTTTCTTTTCTGGGAGTGTTGGATTAGAGGTGCACAAAAAGATTTTCAAAGGTGGTTTTCTTTTTGTATAGTATGTTCTGCTTGACTAATGCACAGACAACCAGAAATAAGCCAGTAGTATCTTTATTTACTGAAGAGTAACTCAAAACTGCTCTTTCAAAATTGCTCTAAACCAAAAGAACGGATTTGGGCCAGCATCTTCTCAAATGCCGTCCGATTGTATCCGTCATCTGATTTCACTCTTTGGTGACCTAATGCTGCGTATGCTGTCAGGTAGTTGTCTGCTTTGGAGCCCTGTGGTGTTAGTACATTAAAAAATGCATTGAGTGTGCATTATTTTATTTTTTTTGACCAATAATTTCACTCTCAGATACATCACCTGTTTTTTTTTCTGTTCATAGTGTAGCAAAAAGGGAGGTATAAATAATTAATTACGAATCATCTTGATTGATTTGAAAATATTTGTATCCGCTGTAAAATGTATAGCAAAATGTTCATCATCACCCAGAAAATATTCAGTGTAATCATCATATCTGGCCAGGAAAAATAAATTTCTTCCTGTTTACAGGTCTATTCAGAGCATGTAGCATAATTGGATTATTTGGGACATTAATATTGTTAGCAGTGAACACTCAACAACCTTGAGGGAATGTACACACAAGATTATGTAGTTTAAATTTGTTAACTATTCTACAGAAGCACAGTAACTAATCTAAATATTAACAAACACACGCAATATCGCACACATACACAGCCAAGGAAACCGAAGAGTGAATGAATGAAACTTAGAAAAAAATGCAGGGAATGAAGCTATGGAATAATGTAAATGCAAGAGTCAGTCAATCAATACCTCAGTATAAAGTCAGTATAGCTTATCTTAAAAACCTTTGTTCAGCAAAGTTCTAATTGTAGTATTGCCTTTAGCTGTTGAATCAGCATTCAGATGCGGTGTAATGAAAGTTTTAAGGATTTTTCCCAGAGTGGGAGATTGCTCGAGTGAGGGAGGTAGTAGTGAAATTTGCCTTTGATTTTTCCCAAATGAGAGAAGAAAGACAAACTTTGGAAATATTATAACCATAGTATTGTATGTATATGTATGTGTATGTATATGTGTGTGTGTTTGTGTATATATATATATATATATATGTGTGTGTGTGTGTGTGTGTGTGTATATATATATATATATATATATATGTGTATATGTTTGTGTGTGTGTGTGTTTTCCTACACAAATTGGCATATATATATATATATATATATATATATGTGAAGAGTTCAGATGCAAAAGCCTCTAAATGCCATTTGAAATTTTCTTCTTTAATGATGATTTTTATCAAACTTCAACTTGTATATTTAAGTTCAGTAATTTCACTTAAATAACAATTAATAGGTAATTATCATTGCCATTTAAGTGAAATCACTGAACTTAAATATACAAGCTTGATAAAAATTATCATTCTAGAAGAAAATTTCAAATGGCACTTAGAGGCTTTTGCATCTGAACTCTTCATATATATATATATATATATATATATATATATATATATATATATAAAATCCTGAAATAAAGCTTATTTGCATAATCAGAGTGGGCTGGCAAACTGAGTATAATTTAAGTTATGAGGATGACATGATATAAATCAATGAAAAATATAAGAGAGGATTATTGTGATATGATGATATGAGACATGCTATATATTGGGTTTCATTTATTAATGGGTTTGAGAAGGCATGCATACAACATTATACATTACAAAGTGCAGCATACAAACATATATGTATTAAATATAATATATATAAATAAAATATAAATAATTTATATATATATATATATATATATATATATATATATATATAATTTAAAACATGGGTTACATATGATATATCTGATATTAAGATTATATAATATGTTAAAGGTCCTTTGTGGTGAAAATCAAGTTTTTAATGTTGTCTATGTGGTGTTTTTAAGATGCTTTAAAAAAAGTGCAAATTCATGAGGAAACACCATCGCTGAATATATTCTCCTTAAAACTGCAGTGAATCAAAAACATTGTTTGAAATCGTCAAATCAAATATGTTGTGACCAATACTGTCAACGTTCATGCAGTAACTATGCTCTGAAGCAAGGGGAGTCTCAAGAGAAGCCAGGTCATCCCGGTATATTTTTTCTGAAAAATCGGGTACATTTAGCAATATAGCGGGTTAATTATGATGTATGTTATGATGTTATAGTGAACTATATGCCTTTCTCCATTGACGTTCTGAGTTGTTCAAAGCTTTTAAGTTATGTGTCCGATGTTGTAGAGATAACCATTCTGATACATGTATTTGTAGATGACCCTGTATGAGTGCGTGGAGGTGGGGCTAATTTGCATATGGATCTGTGTATACTAAATGAAGCAAGGGTGTAGAGTTACATTCAAGCTATTTTAAGGTTTGAATAATTTTTTTTCACAAGAAAAACTTTTAAATATGTAATTTTAATGATGGAAGATGAGTTTTAAGGGATACAATTATTGACTAAAGCAGGGGTATTGTAATGTTTAGAACCTTGAGAAAGTTTCTACCAATTTTTTTTAGTGATCATGTATCTGAAAAATGTACTTTTCTGTCTTTGCAGGCCATAGGGAGTGCAACTAAAGATGTCCGATAGTGTCGATATTGAAGAAAAACCACCTGCCCCCCCCTTGAGAATGAACAGTAGTTCCCGTGACCCTTCCTCAGTACACAGTTCCAAACCACTTCCAATGGCTCCAGAAGAGAAGAACAAGAAAGCCCGTCTCAGGTCCATCTTTCCCGGGGGAGACAAAAGTAAGTGCACCCACTTGACACTTTAGTTTTCACTTTTTTTGTGTGTTCTTTTTTGTTGGGGAAAATATGCAGAATGTATTTAAATATAGAAAAATGCTTAAAGCGTAATTAAATTAGCCAAAATATTTAATAAAAACAAATAAGGGATTTGAACTTTACAAATGACAGACCATTACGTTCTACAGTTTCTTCCAGTGTACTGTGGGCGCAGATTCTTAATCTTAAAGTTAAAATGGTCTCTTTTTGTCCCGCGACCTTGAGCCTAAATCTGAACTTAAATGGTTGTAATTCATGAACGCTTTGAACGGCCTTTTTAAAGAAGACACTCAGCATTTTATTGCAGATGTACACTTCAATGAAAGTGTAAAAAGTTATGGAAGTTTCAGTTTACTGTAATTCAAATGTACTGAGCTAAATAAGTTGTTTACAAAATAACTTCGATCCAAGCAATATGTTTAACCAAGTTGCCTTCCAAGTCTGAAGTTAAGATCATACAAATTTTAGCCTGCTAAAAGGTTGTAAACCACCGTTTCCATGGTAACACAATGTCCAATTTCAAAATGTTTTTAACAGGATTCATTTTGAGCGTTTAACTTTCGAATGATACCTCATTTATCTTAAAATAATTAAAGTGCGTCAAACGTCCCACTGCCAGGACACTGACGATTAACTGGCTAACTAGCCTCTCCAACAAGACTTCCTTAGCTAGCCAGTATAATCCACACTGGTTTAAAGGGGTCATGAACTGGCTTTTTATTTTTTTTATATTGTTGTCTGAGGTCAACTTATGACGTTCGCTTGGTTTTTTCATTAAAAAACATCAAAATGAATAAGTAATAGGCTATTTTGTACCCTAGTTTTGAGCCTAGCTGAAAAAAACGCTCGGTTTTTATGGGCGTCTCGCACTGAAGACTTGGAAGTAAACGCCCACTGCTGTGAGTGGATAACAGTTTTGCATATTATAATGAGTTTCACTCTCGATCCAGTTTGTCATCACGAGGTAGGCATCTATGTTATTTATCTATGCTTGTAATGCGTGAATCAGTGGGCGGGGCTAAGCCGGCCGTGTTGAAGTAGGCGTTGATCTTCTTCTGCGGGGGTGGTGTTTTAATCTCTTTGACATCATACTTCCCCACTTTGAAAAAACAGTCGTTCGTTGAGCCTGGTGTCAATAAAAGCTTTTATTGGACTAACAGACGTTTTCAGTTCTGAAACTTACAGGATATTCTTATAGACCATTTCACAAGATGTAAACAACACCGGTCCAGAAACACTTCCTGTTTCAGTTTGTAACTGTTTTCTTTATTTCACATGTAAAGAAAACATCTTAAAGATGTTTGTTTAACTTTTGATTCAGTTTTAAATGTTCTGTTGGTTGTATTTTATCCCAGCTTTTATGTAGTGTTAAAAAACTGAAACAGGAAGTGCTTCTGGACCAGTGTTGTTTACATCTTGTGAAATGGTCTATAATATGATGACCTCTTAGATGCCAAAAGCTCAAGGAAAATTTGATTTCTCAGTTCATCACCCCTTTAAGCAAACCAACAGAGACCCTGAATGGCTATACTGTACCAGCACGGAATGGTGAGCTGATCCGAAAGGTTTAAAAGTGTGTTTTGTTTTTCTATTCAACAGCCAATAAGAAGAAAGAGAAAGAGCGTCCAGAGATATCCCTGCCCTCTGATTTCGAGCACACCATCCATGTAGGCTTTGACGCGGTAACGGGGGAGTTCACTGTGAGTTCACCCAGTCTCTGGGGTTTTAGGTGTTTCATTTGTGGTTCATGCGAATGGTGTCCTTTAATGGCATTTGACTGGTTTACAGTATGTATGAATATGGCGTGTGTTTATATAAATAATAGCATTAGTAATGAAAATCAGAAACTATATGGAGGGTTTTTAGAACAAAGCCATAATGATAATGTCGTTTAGTGACAGAATGTGCTGAAATAAATTTGCCCCCACTGTGTGTGTCTAAATTTTGATTGAAAATCATTAAAAATACAACTGGGAAATGCGATATGTAAAATATTTTAGGTCAAATCTAATTCAAATAATTAAAAAAGGGGGTAAAAGTTTTTTTTAAACTATTAAAACGCTTTGCACTTGAATGAAAGAATGAGTCCTCTGTGAATGACCCATAAAGATGTAATCAACTTCATGTTTGTCACCAGTGCCATAAATTTTAAAGTATTGTTGCAAATTCATGTATTTATCATTCATGCAACTATTGTAATCACATATAGAGTTCTGCATTGCCATTTCTGCAACTTTAGTTTAATAGGTTCACAAATGTTTTTATTTTTATTTTTTTAGATCAGGGGTATTCATTTAAAGTTGCAGGTCTGGTCTCTAAATTTCCTTCCCTGCGGAGGTCTAGACAATACTTTTTTGGAATAGTTATCAATTTCCATCTGGGCAGAAAATAGTTGATGAATCAAAGATGAGTATATTGGGCCCTCAGATCCAAAGCAGTGATGTCTGAGAGTAATAATAATAATAATAAAATCATCAGTGAGCCCAATTGAATATGAATATTAAAAGGTAAGATCAGATATTTCATCTTTAGACAGAATTACTGGGTTTTCAGGGTTTCCTCTTGAATTCTGAACCATTTCAGTATTTTGCTTAAAATAAGTTTCTACTAAAAACAAACAAACTATAATTATTAAAATGCCCTCATCATGAGAAGAAAACAAAATTAACCAGTAATTTCAATAAGTTATCATCTCCAAATGATTCCCCCAGTTATAATGTTGCTTAATGAAATTCTCTTAAATGCTGATTGATAATGCTAAATGCAGATGAAAAAACATCTTGTCAAAAAACGTGAATGGTTGGAGTCATGTGACCATTAATAATTGTATTTGCGGCATTTTATTTTCTGCAGTGTTATAGGGAAAGTATTGATCTATTTTCCTGTTCACTGTGTTTTCGCTACTGTTGTTATTGTGGCAAAAGATGCATGATTTTCTTATATTTCTTTTTTTTTTCTGTTTCCAATGCACACATAAACAGGGTATTCCAGAGCAATGGGCTCGGTTATTGCAGACCTCTAATATTACTAAGCTGGAACAGAAGAAAAACCCTCAGGCTGTTATAGATGTTCTCAAGTTCTACGACTCCAAAGAGACTGTCAACAACCAGAAATACATGAGCTTCACGTCAGGAGGTGAGGCACACACACCCACTCAAATACACATGCAAATATGGTGGCCCATGTAGTGAAACTTGACAACCCCTCCGGCTACCCCCGTTGAACAAAGATTTCTGATCGCAATAACAATCGACCTTTCCTTTTTAGATGTCAATTCATTTTTTAGTGCTTAATATTAGCCACTTTATTCAAAAAATATGCTTATAGGGTCTAAGTCGTGTGGTATAGAAGTGTAAGAAGTGTAGTAAATGTGTGTGTCTTACAATACTTTGTTTTTAAGTATATAGATAAAGGCTATACATGGTCATGGTTAGATATTCTCATTTTCTGTAGATTTTAAGTAGGCTGGCATTTCTTCTTTTTCTTTTGCCAACTCCAAATGAAATCCCTGGGCCTTGCCTTGAAAAACGTATCGTAACGCCCCTGCATAAATGGGTTATTCTGATGAAATGGTGCCTGTTTCATTATGTATAGTATGTCTCTATAACTTAATTTGTATGAAATTGACAGGATTAAGTTTTTTTTTAGGACACTTTTTTTATAGATATTATATGAAATTCAGTGGTTCAAATAGTGATCAATTAAAAATCTATTAATTATTCTTGGTAACAAACACCATTAAATGGAAATAAAATTATGTGGTTCAGTAACCTTAAAACTTCTTGGAGGTAACAAAGTATGAATATATGAATTATAGGAATACCAAACTTACTATGACATATTAGTATAATTAGCACAAATAGCTATACCAAAACAAGTACCTTTAGAATTGGTATTAACAGACTGCAATTTGGATTTGATTTATACTGCATTTATATATTACATTTTAAATTGGGTTGCTTGAGTAAAACTCTGACCGATGTATTTTTTTTTGCTTCCAGATAAATCTGCTCATGGTTACCTTGCAGCCAATACACTGGTGAGTGTTTTTGCTATCTTTTTCTTATTTTTTTTTTCCCAGTTTGACATTTTTATTTCAATTTACCAATTCATCTTCATGAATTAAAGGATTCATGATTCAAGCATCCAGTAATGCCATGTCTGCCCCTCACAAACATAACCGTTAATAACATGGACTAGCTGAATTGCACGTTGTGTTTGTAGTTATGTAGCCATTATGTATTTTTTGAGCCATTCATTAGTAACAGATGAAGATCCAGATTTGCGAACAACTTTCTCCAGAGTTAAAAAACTACTGGCAGGATTTACTAGACATGCGGTGACTGTAAAGTTAGCACTGAAAAGGTTAGGACACGGTTATTTTTGCGGTTGACCTTATTGCATATGCATTTGTAGGAGTTTCCTGTTAGGACGCAACATTTATTGGAACATTTATGAATCTTCAAATGAATCAAGTGATTTATTAAGGTTTGCGCTCGTCAATTTACTGGTGTTTGCGCCATTTTTGAACACCCAAAAAAGCATGTCTTAAACCAGGGGCTATATTTGCTCGGCTCTTGGTGGTTTGCGTTGATCATTGTGGAAATGATTGTGAACGTTTCACTCCCATCAGTGCTTTTATGGGATTGGGCTCACGATAATTTGCCCTGTTTAGTAAATCTGGCCCTAAATGTAATTGTGACTCAAAGACTCTGTAAAATAAAAATAAAGATCACTTTTTGCTCTAATATTGTGGTGATAAAGATCGTGTGCATCTAGTTAGCTTTGATTCAATATCTTCCCCATCAACTGCATACATTTCTAACATTAATGTTAATGATGGTGTCCTTCATCATTTCCAGATTACGGTGACAAAACTGTTGTGTTGACCGTGATTCAAAAGTGATTTTAAACCACAGAATTAAGCAAACACATATCTTCAAAATGCTTATTCCTCTGATTTGATTTGCCACCCACTAAAACGTTATAAGTTACCACTAAACATGTATATATTATGTATAGCATGTTAAGCTGTCTTTGGTGGGCTATAAGGTATAAACATCTTCACCAAGAGGTTCTAATAGACTCTACCTGTTAAGTATACAGCTAGTGTGAACCATGTAGACCAGCTAGACACCTTGCAAGGCCAGATTAAACTGGTTGATTTTCCGGCAGTGTTACAGTAGTGTTAACAGTAGATGGCATACTGCTCAAATGGAGGTTTCAAATTTTGTTTTTAAAAACAAGTACATTTTCCGTTGACCTCAGCACCTGAATCAGATTCCATGTCGGATCTGTGTGAATCCGGTTGTGTTTTTCCCTTTTGTGAAATTTCCTAAATGAACTTGTGTCAAAAGCAGTGGAAAGATTCAGCTTCACAAGTGCTTCATTTTTAAACTTTCCTGCGATGCGGTGATGCTTTAATTTGGCCCTGTGTGTTCGAATGATCTTTTATAGATTTAGGCACAAAACAGCTTTTAGAGCTTGGTAATATAAATCCAATACAACATATTTAAGGCTTAAAATTGAGTTGAATTTGGTTGAGAAGAACAGTTTTATGCGACCCTGCTTATTAGAAAAAAATCAAATATGCCTCTAACTACATTTTTAGAAAAGAAAAGAAAAAGTCACAAATGAACACTAGGGGCAGTAAATGAAGACTAAAGGCCTGTTCACACCGGGACGAATTTAGTGTGTGTTATTTGCCGACGTTTAACGCCTCGTGACTAAACAAAGGGCGCCAATGTGAGTGTGCACACCGATGCGTAAAACGCCACGCGTAAAAGCGTCATTTAAAAAAAAAAACGCCTCGGGTTCGTTTTTTTTGTTTTGTTTGAAGCGCTTCGTCAAAAACTATCCGAACAATGAGATTGGCGCTTTTGCTCACGTGTTTGGAGCTTCTGAAGTTACAGTAAAACACAACTTGGGGGCGCTCAAACACAAAACGGTCCTGCCGAGCACACATATGCAACGGCGAAGAAGACATACGCCAAGTAGCGTCGCCATCTATACAGCCAGGAAGAAATAAGACGAGGAAGATGCGAGGCAAGATGAATGTAGAGCTGCTGGTCTCGTTGGTGTTAGAACATAAAGAATTATATGACAAACGCGACAGCGACTACAAGCATCTTGATAAAATAGAACTGATATGGAGTGGTATTGCAGAGCAAATTGGCGCCATCTAATGTCAGGGAATGAATTTGCATGTTCACTCGGCTCATCGTCATCGAAAATCATTTGGGTGTGAACACAAAAAACGCGTTGAAAAACGCTGACGAATAACTCGCGCTAATATTCGTCCCAGTGTTTGCGGGCCTTAAAGGGTTAGTTCACCCAAAAATGTAAATTCTGTCAGTATTTACTCACCCTCATGTTGTTCCAACCCAGTTAGACATTCGTTCATCTTCGGAACACAAATTAAGATATTTTTAAAGAAATACGAGAGCTGGATCACTGCTACACACTAGTCCATAGGCTTCTTGAGGGATTGAAACTTGCCGGCCTCAAAGTAATTAAAAAGACATCGTTAAAATAGTCCAAGTGACTACAGTGGCTCAATCTTAACTTTATCAAACGACAAGAACACTTTTTGCGCACAAAAAATAACGACTTTATTCAATTATTAATTACCTTCTCTGTGGGCCTCGAGTGAGTTCACTAGTGTAATAGCGTAAGCTTCTGTTGTTGTATGTCACACGCATCACACACGTGACTAGCGTCGGCCAATAGTGAGGCTACGTGTGATGTAGCTCTATGCTGTCACACTATGTTAACTGACTAGAGGCCCATACAGAAGGAAGTGAATAGTTGAAATAAAGGCATTATTTTTGTTTGTTTTTGCGCTCAAAAACTATTCTCGTCATTTGATAAACTTAAAGGACAAGTTCGGTATTTTACAATTAAAGCCCTGTTTTAAGATCGTTTCTGATGAAATAGAATGGTTTGGATTGTTTTTCAGACAAATGCAGCTGTCCTGAGAATTTTCAGTTTCTGTGGTTGCCCCCCCACACCTCTACAATGGTAGCATAGGTGCACAGGAACAATTCTTCATAAAAACGCATCAAACTTTAGTTTACAAAGTTTACACTGATATGCTCACACAAAAATCGCTGCAAAATATGCTTTCCAACAGGTGTTTTACCATTCGTTGTAAAACTGAAGACCTATTTTTCTGAACGCCTCGCAACCGTACATTCTTCCGTTGAGGGCTTGAAAAATAGACACTCCAGCCCAGTTGGTGGCGATAATGCACCTTTGCCAATTGCAAGCAAACCACTTGAATAGTGTAGCCTACGATACCGCGACTACATTAGACTACAGAAAGAATACAAACAACCCCATTTACGTTTCTGGCGGCGGAGTAATACCGTACATCACAGAACTTACAATACAAGTCCAATGGAGCACAAAAACTACGAAAAAACCTGTTGCAAAGCGTCTTTTGCAGCGATTTTTTGTGTGAGCAAATCAGTGAACACCCCAGACCACTAGGTGAGTTTCACGTCTTTGTAAACTAAAGTTTTATGCGTTTTACAAAGGATTGTTCCTGTGCACCTTTGCAACCATTGTAGAGGTGTGGGGGTGCGACCACAGACACTGAAAATTCTCGGGAAAGCAGCATCTGTCTAAGAAACAATCTTAACCATCCTATTTCATCAGAAATGATCTTAAAACAGGGCTTTAATTCTAAAATACCTAACTTGTCCTTTCAGATTGAGCCACTGTAGGACAATTTTAACGATGTCTTTAATAACTTTTCGGGGCCGGCAAGTTTCAATCCCTCAAGAAGTCTATGGACTAGTATGGAGGCGTGATCCAGCTCTCAGATTTAATCAAAAATATCCTAATTTTTGTTCCGAAGTAAATACTGACAGAATTTTCATTTTTGGTTGAACTAACCCTTTAATCAACTGCATTTTTGTTTGTGATGAAGAAATAGGCTGTGATGTCAAGTTAGCAATGCAAGAACTGATAGGTTTTGTTTGTGTGAATGTTTACGTGCACTTTGGTTGCTTGACGTTTTAAGTCAATTTCAGATTCAAAAATTGCAACCGATATTTCAGAAAATACTGTAAGTGGTTACAGCTTTTCATCTCTCAGTAATTATTGACTACATACAGAAGTGTGTGTTGTGATGCACGATTCATCAAAGCATTGATTATTTAAGTGTCAGGGACCCTTAAGATGTTCAAATGACAGTTAAACACTCCCCAGATTAATGTGTGTCTATCTCGCACTGAAAAGCTCTTCATCTGACATGTGTTAACTGGCAGAAAATCCGGTTTTGCTGGGCCGATTTATCTGATCTTTGTATGAAAACTTTGACAGCTTGATTCATGTTTGGTGACCGGGAACTGTAAAGTGGTGGCAAATGAATGTCCATGTTTAGACCACAATAATGAAGATGCTCACTTTTTTTCTTAGTTGTGTTTTCCTCCTCGCCCATTATTTTCACAAGAATCTCACCTCCAAGCCACCTTTCTCCTTTACCTTCCTCCCTCCTGTCACACTTTCCCTCCTATCCTCTGTTGCCTGGAATCCATTTGTAGTGTTTGAATACTTTGTGGGGTTTTTTTGTGTCAAGTAAAATATCCTCCCGTTCTCAACCTTATCATCATTCAGAACCGCCTCCTGTCTTCCGGGCCACCTGTCAGCCTTAGAACCTGCAGCGCGTTTTTTGACAAGGTAACACTTCACCTTTATACTGTACGGCACTAAGGAAGCTGCATCATTTGGCACAGCTAATGCCTCTACTGAGTCAGACACAATATTTGGGCATTTGATACCTAAACACATTACTGTAGACTGGGACCCAACAGCCCAAATTTGTGGTTTTCCACAAGCTAGTTTTTGTACTCACTGCAGTGAGATGAACAAAGTTTTGCAATGCTGCACACTGCAAACTAATTTCAAAATCTCACTGGAAACTCAAGGCTTGCCTGAGGTAATATCTCTACACAATGTTTTATTTCTCATCTAAAATGAGAATGGAAATTTAGGTTGGATGCACAACAAAGCTAGTCCATAATACACCAACATATTAACCAATACCGAATGAATTTGTCTTTCCTGTATTCAGGAAATGATTTATTTCCTGTATTAAGTAGTTCACTTTAAAAAAAAAAACTTTTGCTGATAATTTACTCACCCCCATGTCATCCAAGATGTCCATGTCTTTCTTTCTTCAGTCGAAAAGAAATTAAGGTTTTTGGTGAAAACATTCCAGGATTTTCTCCATATAATGGACTTCAATGGGAACCAAACGGTTCAAGGTCCAAAAGACAGTTTCAGTACAAACTGCAAACTGTTCAAAGGGCTTTAAACGATTCCAGACGATGAATAAGGGTCTTATCAACTGAAACGATCGCTCATTTAATAAATAAATAAAAAAAAGTTTTATGAGCTCTGTTCTGTGACGCGCGTTTGTGACTCTCCTGTTCGAACTCGTTCATCAAAATGAACGAATCTTTTTCTGAGTCATTTGGTTCATTACTGAGAAAATTTAATGAGAAAAAACAAGGCCGTGGCCAATAGGAATTTATTGTATCTAGAAACGTGGGCGTTAAATGGACCATTTGAGCTTATAAAACTTAAACTTTGTTGTTGTTTTTTTTTATTAAATGAGCTTTGTTTTTTTTTTAAATGTTTCGCTTGATAAGACCCTTATTCATCGTCGGGAATCGTTTAAAGCCCTTTGAACAGTTTGCTGTTTGCACTGAAACTGTCTTTTGGACCTTGAACCGTTTGGTTCCCAATGAAGTGCATTATATAGAGAAAAATGCTGGAATGTTTTCATCAAAAACCTTAATTTCTTTTCGACTGAAGAAAGAAAGACATGGACGTCTTGGATGACATTGGGGTGAGTAAATTATCAGCAAAAGTTGAAAAGTGATCAACTCCTTTAATGGACCTCAATTTAGGTCAATTTGGTATTTTTTTTTCCCCCTCTGAGATTTAATTTCTCTGATTTATACTCTAGTGCTCCATTTAGATTTGCTTGCTAGCTATAAAACAATTGCTGCTTGCCTTATTAAATATTCCCTAAAGTACAGTATGAAAACATACAACAACAGCGTCACGTGCATGCAAGTGTGTGTATGTGTGTCTTTTATCTTTTGCCATCCATCTCATACCAACAGGTGCTGGACGCTTCTGGAATCTCTTCCTTATATTTTAGGTTTAGATTTTTTTTCTCTCCAAGTTTTTAATGGGAAGAGTCACATATGGAAATGCATGTGATGCTTAATCCTGTAAGTGTGACCTTTACGCCAATAAGGCTGCGGTTTTAATTCAGATTCACCTTGTAGAGCATACAGGTTTGTTTAATGCTTACTCTTTAGGAAGAAGTATTCTATGTTTTCAGTTTCAGCTGTTTTAATTCCCATGCATTCTGACAAAGCAAGTGCTCTCAATTGAAAGTTCAGATCGTACACTTAAAAATAAAGGTTATTAATTGGCATTGATGGTTCCATTTGATTTCACAACGGGTTCTTTTAAGAACTGTTCGCTGAAACGTTCTTTAGAGAACCCAAAATGGTTCTTCTGTTGTATTGTGGCGAAGACCCCCTTTGGGAACCTTTATTTTTTAAGAGTGTAGATAAAAATCCTCTCATAATTTAATCACAACATCAGATCTGGCTTTTAAAGATGTTGATCCCAAACCTCACTTGTGTTGTTGATATGCATGTTTGGACTAAATGGGTTAGATTTTCCTACGTTTGATAGTAAATAATAGTAAATCTTTGGGTTTTCACTGGTCCTGAGTATCCATTCCATTATGATAATGCCTTTACAAAGTCAGCTGAGACTAAGAGCAATGAAATTATTAAAGTGTTTATGGCGTATTTATGAACTACTTTAACTGTAGAACCCTAATCCAGATACACATACCAATCGGACATAGCATAGCAATAACAGCGTAATAATAGTCCTTGGTCCCACTTTATATTAAGTGGCTTTAAGTACTATGTACTTACATTTAAAAATAAGTACAATGTACTTATTGTGCTCAAGTTGTATTGTAAATCACTTTTGGTGCTATTGAGGTGGGATACAGGTAAGGTTAGGGACAGGTGTGGTGGTATGGGTAGGTTTAAGGGTAGGTTTAAGTGTAAGGGATGGGTCAGCTGTGTAATTACAGATGTAATTACATAAATTAATTACGGCTGTAATTACATGCTGGTATTTTTTAAATATAAGTACAATGTAAAAACATGTATGTACACAATAAGTCCATTGTATCAAATTATTAATTTAAATGTAAGTACATGGTACTTAAAGCCACTTAATATAAAGTGGGACCTAGTCCTTTAGCCAAGTCTTGTCAGAAAATTAAAAAAAACACATAAAAAGAATTAGCAAACTAGCATTGTAAAACTGCAACGTATGTATACTGTTCATAGTATACACATTAAAAAACACAGATGGCCTGCTACGTTTGCAAAATGTGAAGAATGCAATTAAACACAATGCAATTTGCTTTGTTTTAATGTGTGATGAATGAACCAGAAGTAGTTGCAGCATTCATTATTTGATCAGACAAAAAAAATTAACCTTAGATTTATTTAATATAACTATAACTGGATAAATGGAAATATTATTGTTTGAAACCGTTATTGTGTAGTATTATGTAAAATGGACATATACCGTAAACAGTATTCACTAGTATAAACTAGTATTCCATTCTAGACATAGCCATGAACTGGAATAGCCTAAGTTTACCCGGGTCTACTGTTTATGATGTCGCCCTCTAGAGGTTGAAATGACTGAAACAAAGTATTACAGGCCTAACAATGACCGCTTGAGTTATATATGTAGAACATTGCACTTTTGCTAGTTATGAAGGTTACAGATGAGCAGTAAATGTGATATTTATTGATTGCGGATTAAGTGCTCAACCCTGTTTGCGCTCTACTCGTGTGTGTGTGTGTCTGTGTGGGAGCGCAGCAAGGGGCTAAGACAACTTCTGAACCTCCTATTGCACCTCCGGTGTCTGAAGAGGAAGACGAGGAAGAGGAGGATGAAGAGGAAGAAGATGATGATGAGGATGAGGATGAGGTTCCACCCATCATCGCTCCACGGCCTGAGCACACCAAATCCGTTAGTACAGCATGTTTATTCTGTAGATTAGATATATAATACACTGTGAAAAAAAGCGTGTTAAATAATGTAGACAATTCTAGAGTGAGATGTTAGACTACTAGGGTACTTTCTCAGGAGATAAGGGGGAAACTTAGGCTGTGTTTGTAGTTGGCAGGTTTGGTTCAATTAAAGTGATAGTTCACTTTGAAATGAATTTTTGGTATGTTTTATCTTACCTCAAGGACATCCAAGATGTAAGTGTCTTTGTTTCTGCAGTATTTTCAATTTTGATATTTTTCAGTCAAACCGTTGTCTGTCAGTCATATAATGGACGTCTATGGTCACCACCTCAAAGAGCATGCACAGAGAAGTCCAAATTAAACATGATTTAATGACTTGTAAATGTAAGTACACATTGATGGCCTAAGTCACGACACGAAGCAGTTATTTTACCGTTTTAAATAGGAAAAATATCTAAACTCTTTGATATTTATTTTTTGTTGAGAAATGCTAATGGTCTTGTCCACTTAAATGATGTATGCTAAGCTATGCTAAAAGTGGTACCGCCAGAACCGGAGATCGGCTGAATGGATTCAAAAACGGTAAAACGCATCAGTCTAACTCTGGGGAAGTTGTAAAATGAGCCTATTTCCAAAAAGAGTGGAGTATCCCTTTAAAGTCTCTATTTAATCATTGTGTCTATGAGAAACAATTAAGAAATGTATTAGAAATCTCCTTTCATCCCTGTCTGTTTCTCTCTCCTATGTATTTCTATGCATTTACTCTATCACTGTATTTTTTTGTAGATCTTCACACGCTCTGTTATTGAGCCAGTTGCACCTCCTGCTTCTGTCAAAGAGGTCACGACCCCTCCAGAGTCACAAGTCCAGCCGGAAAACACGTCTAGTACGCTGTACCGTCACACTGACCGACAGAGGAAGAAATCCAAGATGACAGATGAGGAAATACTGGAAAAACTCAGTATGTGGTCAAGAGTGTTGATTTTAGCTGTGCATGTGGTGGTAGAATATTATTTATTTGAACTGTAAGAAGATACTATAGCAATATTTGGTTTAATTTTATTTCAATGGTCCACTTTAGGCATTTTACGAACTATAAGTAACTTTACAACTACGTCAACTTATTCTACTTACCCGAACCCTAACAGTCTGCTATAGTCTACTTATATTATACTTGAATGAGTGTTAGTTGACATGTAGTTGCAAAGTTACTCATAGTTAGTAGAATCTCTAAAGTGGACCATCCATAACTTTACCCTATAAAAAGTTATACATCTAGTCAGAAATCCAAAAAGTATTAGTGATAATATTTCAATGAGCTGATACCTCATTGGAGTACTTCATATCATGTGGTATGATATGGAATGGAGACAAAATTCATGAATGACAGAACTGTGTTGTAATATTGTTTCAGCCACAATACTTAAAGGGATAGTTCACTTTGAAATTAATTTTTGATATGTTTTAGTTTACCTCAAGAGCATCCAAGATGTAGGTGTCTTTGTTTCCGCAGTATTTTCAATTTTGATATTTTTAGGTCAAACCGTTCGTGTCTGTCAGTCGTATAATGCAGGTCTATGGTCACCACCTCAAAGAGCATGCACAGAGAAGTCCAAATTAAACATGATTTAATGACTCGTAAATGTAATTACACATTGATGGCCTAAGACACGAAACGAGCGGTTTGTGTGAGAAAACGAACAGTATTTATATCGTTTTTACCTCTTGTAATCACAGTCACATCCCAGTGATCTGAGGGCGCTTCGGTCTGCACAAGCACCGGGAGTGATCTCTCGCGCGTGTACGTCACTCATTGTTTACACAGAGATTTCAGAAGTCCTACCCTTCACTGTGAAGATCTAAACATATTTAGATATACAAGAAATTGCAATAGAAGACGATTTCGATATATAAACAGACAACGTTGATCTTTTTTCGCAACTGTGCAAGAGATCACTTTAGATCACTTGGACGTGGCTGTGATTACAAGAGGTAAAAACGATATAAAAACTGTTCGTTTTCTCACACAAACCGCTCGTTTCGTGTCTTAGGCCATCAATGTGTACTTACATTTACGAGTCATTAAATCATGTTTAATTTGGACTTCTCTGTGCATGCGCTTTGAGGTGGTGACCATAGACCTGCATTATATGACTGACAGACAAGAACGGTTTGACCTAAAAATATCAAAATTGAAAATACTGTGGAAACAAAGACACTTACATCTTGGATGCCCTCGAGGTAAGCTAAAACATATCAAAAATTAATTTCAAAGTGAACTATCCCTTTAATACATGATTGTCAAGTTGCTTGAAAGGTTCCCATTTTTAAATGTTCTTCTCCAATGGCAAATAAGAAATTTTGAATAACACCCAATTCACTCTTAGATAAATCTCATTCGATACCATTAGGATCCTTTGCAGTTGGTTCCCAATTCGGATAAAATTCCTATACGTATGGACACATTTCTTTCGAAAAAAAAAAATGGATTAGGAATGCTGATCTGGTCTCTTTTGTGTGGACTCTGTGAATCATTGTCCTTTTTCCATTTGACTCTACACTTGTGATCCAGATTACTGACAGCACTAAGCACTAAAACAGAGATTATAGGTTTTATAACAGATAGAGATTACTGTTCTTACTCTGCCAACAGACACACTCAAACAGATATACGTCATTAACAATTATGAATAACCAAACTCATCATGCATCTCTCTTCAGCAGTTACCTGACCAAAAGCTTTGCTTGTATGCCTTTGCTTCTGTGTGCATATAGTCTTACAAGGTTCTCCTCTTTCTTCCAGGAAGCATTGTTAGTGTCGGGGATCCCAAGAAGAAATATACACGTTTTGAGAAAATTGGACAAGGGTATGTTTATACAATCATCATCTATGTACACATACCCACCCAAAGTCACACACCACTCCTCTCATTCATATTTTAAAGACATGTGGATATGAGAAGATCAAGACTGGTTCAACAGAGAAGAAAGGGTTGGATGTCAGGTTTAAGAAGTCAAGAATAAAGTGAGCAAATGAAAATTTAATTCAGACATGACTACAGGCCAAAGAGAGGGAGTGTGTTTTGAGGTCATCAGCTGACCTCCTCTCAAACAAACTAAAGCAAGTTTTCAAAAAAGTGCCATAAAATTCTTATTACAAAAAAGTATCTTTTGTGACTCGAAGACGCGTTTCGCTGTATGCGTGTACATTTTTTATCGTATTGGCGTTTCGTCCACACGGATCCGGCGTTTTGGGAGAGCGAAAACGCTATTTTTTGAAACCGGGTCCCAACGTGGATAAATCTGAAAACGACACCCTCGCGGTTTCGTATGCACAGCCAATCCGTATATTTTGTGAAACGATGATGTCATCACATCACGTGTCGCTGCGTCACACGCCATCTTCGTCTTGTTCTTCTTGGTTCGTATACAGCGTGCAAGGTTATGCGCGTGCTATAGTGTATAGTGTATCTCTGTGGCAGAATTACAGCGCCCCATACTGGTCTGGCATATATACTACACCACTTTCAGTTGGTTTCAGTGGTTTTGTGTGTACGCAGATATTTCTTGAGACGACGACGTTTTAAGAGATTTTTTTTTTTTTTTAGAAGGAGGAAAAAAAAATATCAGATAGGGAACGCACCGGCTTTGTGTGGACGTGGCCTTATACGATTTTCCATCTTATCTTTGCATGAGGGTGAGTTCATTTGAGTGGGCAGTTTTTTTTTAAATATTACTTAAACATTTACTTTCTCTTTTTTAACTTTAGTGTACTAGTCTGTTTTTTTCTGTAAAGTTATTGCATTCAATTAAACCCATAAACTGGCTTATACTTTGTGCTCGTGCACAAATGATGTCAGACCTGTTCATATTCTTGTCAGCTGCTGGCGGTCCCTGTATTTTAAGCAGCAAATACTGCTCCAGGATCAGTCCAAGGGTGTTTCAATGTGGCTTTACCCTGAATGCACCTGATCCAGTTGCACCCTTGCTCTATTATTTATGCACCCTGATAATAATCTGTGGCCTGATGCCCTAGAAAGAGAGAAAAGATGTGTGTTCGTGGATTGACAAAGGAGATAAACAGCCTCGTATATCAAGTAGAGCAGCAGCTTCTCCAAGCTTACACATGTATGTGTTACTCTTATATGTGTGTATTAGATAGTGGGGAATTATACACTGATGACACTGGTGAGATTATATTAATCTTCATGCATCAATTTTTTTTTTCAGCCTTGTGTAATACACCAGTATACTACTATGGTTGTGGGTGTAGAGGTCAAAGGTTAGATATTTTATATCCCTGTGAATTTGTGTTGGTATAAGCATTTACATTGTGGAGATTAAAACAAATCCATCACTCTCTGCCAACGAGTTAATAATCAAAATAAGCATTTTTTTTTTTTTACATTTTATTTAACTGTTTTTTTTTATGGATATGATTGACATATAATATTTTATTAATATGTCGAATGTATTTGGGAAATGTATCTTTTAGGTTAAGACTGCTCAACCATCATCATGTATTGCCCTTTATTAGTTCATTTTAAATGGTCCTGAGTTGTGAGTGACGTGCATTTATAAAAGCACAAATGTAGTCTTCCAAGCCATGTGAGGTCATTAAAGCTAAATTAGAAAAATGTTGTTTAGCATATCACACAGCAGGACATGTCAACTACCCACCCACCCTTATACATGTACATATTTCTCTAAGGGCATGAGAAATCCAGAGCTGCCCTCTATTGGGCACTGAATAATGGATGAGTCCATACTAAGTCACTACAGTATAGAAAAGTTTTAACCTGCTTCTCCACTGTGTGTTTTAGGGCATCTGGGACAGTATACACAGCTATTGACATTGCCACAGGACAAGAGGTAAACCAGATTACCGTACGTTTCGATCTAAAGAAAGCCTCCGCATCGCCTTCTGCTCTTTGCTGACCTCTCTCCCTTTTACTTTGTTCAGGTGGCCATTAAACAGATGAATCTGCAACAGCAGCCAAAGAAAGAGCTCATTATTAACGAGATTCTCGTGATGAGGGAAAACAAAAACCCCAATATAGTCAACTACCTGGACAGGTACAACCTTCAACAGTAGTATTATGTTACCGGTCAAAAGTTTTAAATCGGTAAGATTTTTTATGTTTTTAAAAGAAGTCTCTTCTGTTCACCAAGGCTGCAATTATTTGATAAAAACATTCAAAAAAACAGTAATATTGTGAAATATTATTGCAATTTGAAACAGCGGTTTTCTATGTGAAGTGTAATTTATTCCTTTGATCAAAGCTGAATTTACAGCACCATTACTTCAGTCTTCAGTGTCACATGATCCTACAGAAATTATTATAATATGATGCTCAAGAAAATTTTATGATTATTATCCGTGTTGAAAACAGTTTTTTACATTTTTATTTCAGGATTCTTTGATGAATAGAAAGTTCAAAAGAACAGAATTGATCTGAAATGGAAAGCTTTTGTAACATTAATCACTACCATTTAAAAGTTTGGGGTCAGTAAGAATTTATTTTTTTTATTTTTGGGGGAAAGAAATTAGAAAATAGTTTTATTCATCAAGGATGAGTTAAATTGATCAAAATTTACAGTAAAGACATTTATAATGTTAGAAAAGATTATATTTTAAATAAATGCTGTCCTTTTGAACTTTGAATTTTGGGGGGAAAATGGTACACGACTGTTTTCAACATTGAAAATAATAATTTATGTTTTTTGAGCATAAAATCAGCATATTAGAATGATTTCTGAAGGATCATGTGACACTGAAAATTGATGTGTAATCAGCAACAGTAATGATGTTGAAAATTCAGCTTTCAAATGACATTTTAAAATATATTAAAATAGAAAACAGTCATTTTAAATTGTCATAATATTTTTACAATATTACTGTTTGTCATTTTTTTTCCCATTAAATAATTGCAGCCTTGGTGAGCAGAAGAAACTTCATTTAAAAACATAAAAAAAAATCTTACTGATAAAACTAAAACTTTTTAGTTTTTCTAAAACTTTTGACCGGTAGTGTATATTAACTGATTAATGCGTTAACATTTCAATGAATGCAATTTTTTACAAAAAACATTATTATTTTTTCGAATATTGTTTTAAAGACTGTCTTTATTCATTAAGTCTGTGTAAATTGTTCATGGAAGCATTCTCAAATACATTGTGACAGTTTGGGTAAAACTGATTACTATGAAATTATTTGCAATTTGCTATTATTTATGTGGAGTTTTTACATATTATTTTGTTTTCTTCTCTTTCCTGAAAAGAGAAAATTGACTACAAATGATAAAAATACGTATTTGGAGGCAAAATGTGAAATTAATCATGACAATGGCAAAAACTTGATTAATATTGGTTATTTTATTCTATCGATAGCCATAATGTTAATTTCCCTTTTTACTTTTTTTTTTCCCTAAATATTTGTTATGAATAGTTTTCTCCATTGGATTTAACGTTTCGGTAACACTTTACTTGAAGGGGTGTGCATAAGACTGACATGACGCCTTCATAACCATGACATGACATATGTCTTGAATATGCATGTTTATGACAACTGTCATTAAGTGTCTTTCGCTCAATTATGACATTTTGAATGCAAATATGACATTGTTTAAGATGTCTTTTTTATGACACCTTGACATAAACCAATACATCATGACCTGTCAGTGTCTTTGTCATGACAACTTGACATAAAATTAAGTTAAACTGTCATGTGGTTGGCTTTGCAGGTACCGTGTTACTATCATCTAACTTCTCATTCAGTGGTCAGGTTGGTGCCTGTAATCTGAATGGTGTTCATCTTTCTGTCTCAGTTATCTAGTAGGAGATGAGTTGTGGGTGGTGATGGAGTATTTGGCAGGTGGTTCACTAACTGATGTGGTAACCGAGACCTGCATGGATGAGGGACAGATTGCTGCAGTGTGCAGAGAGGTAACACATACACTCAAATTACACTGCGGATTTACACACCTACAGTGTCTGAATTACTATGAAGATCTGATCTTACTCTGTGTTTGTCTTCACAGTGTCTACAGGCTCTGGACTTCCTCCATTCTAATCAGGTGATTCATAGAGATATCAAGAGTGACAACATTCTCCTGGGCATGGATGGTTCTGTAAAACTCAGTAAGTAACGCACAAAACCCCCCACATTTTATAACTTCCTTTTTTTAGTTATGTTCACACTTGTAGTGCAGTTCGCTTGGTCTGGACCAAAATAAAAATAAAACATTTAGTCCTGGTTCGCTTGGCATTCACATTGTCGTTTTAACACCGAACCTAGAGGCATACCGATATGTGTTAACTGCGCTCGGTGTGTGTGCATAGCCTGATGGTATTTTGACCAGCTGAGAACTCGTGAAGAGGTTATGAAATGTGTAATGGAGTCAAAACAGCGGCAGGAATCCCTCCATCACACACTCAGATGAAGATGTGCTGTGAGGAGACGACTGTAACAAGAAAAAAACAGGTTTGCTTAAGCATTCTGTCTTTTTTATCATTTGTGTTGCGTTCAGATTTCATTCAAACCACACCAGAGTTCATTTGACCTATCTTTCCAGCGGTCTCGGTTCACACTTATTCAAATGAACCGCACTAACACAGCAATCGCACCAGGGTTTCGTTTTAATCTAACCAAACGTGCCAAGTGTGAACAAACAAATTCTTCAGAAATGTTAATGTAATTTCCTGTTATGCATCAAGACCAACATCTTAACCCCCTCTCTCTTTCTTTCTAAAGCGGATTTTGGGTTTTGTGCTCAGATCACACCTGAGCAGAACAAGCGTAGCACTATGGTGGGTACACCCTACTGGATGGCCCCAGAGGTCGTAACCCGGAAGGCCTATGGCCCTAAAGTGGACATCTGGTCCCTGGGCATCATGGCTATTGAAATGGTGGAGGGAGAACCGCCATACCTGAATGAGAACCCACTCAGGGTAAGACCTTACAGAGCTTTGTAACAGACACATAATAAATGTTCTTTTTAAAAATGGCAACTAATCCTAAACGCAGGAATTTCCTAAAACAATTTAAAGTACAGTAGTTAAAAGAGTAGTTCACTTTAAAAAAAAAACTTTTGCTGATAATTTATTCACCCCCATGTCATCCAAGATGTCCACGTCTCTCTTTCTTTAGTCGAAAAGAAATTAAGATTTTTGATGAAACCATTCCAGCATTTTTCTCCATATAATGCACTTTACTGGGAACTAAACGGTTCAAGGTCCAAAAGACAGTTTTAGTACAAACTGCAAACTGTTCAAAGGGCTTTAAATGATTTCAGATGATGAATAAGGGTCTTATCTAGCGAAACGATCGCTTATTTAAAAAAAAAAAGTTTAAGTTTTATAAGCTCAAATGGGCGCCTTGCTCTGTTCTGTGATGCGTGTTCATGACTCTCCTGTTCGAACTTGGTCATCAAAATGAACGTTTCTTTTTCCGAGTCAATTCGTTCGCTGAATGAACCAAATGACTCGGAAAAAGATTCGTTCATTTTTGTTCAAACTTTTTGATCAAAGTTTTTTTCAAAAGTGAACTACTCCTTTAATGTCTGTATTGTAACTTGGTTCAGATATGCAGAATTTTCTAGAATTGTTCCACTACATTAATGTTTTTCCTTTATGGTAGGCCCTGTATTTAATTGCAACCAATGGAACTCCAGAGCTACAAAATCCCGAACGGCTATCCTCAGTGTTTCGAGACTTCCTTAACCGCTGTCTGGAGATGGATGTAGACCGGAGAGGGTCAGCAAAAGAATTGCTGCAGGTAACAAACTATGCTTCAGACATCTGTATTATGTAATATAGTTTTTTAACTACATTTGTACACATTATGCATTACCTCATACTGCTCTATATTAGCAGCTTAACAGATATATAGAAATAGTTGTTCCTCTAACCCCATTGTTTACACTAAGTTGTTCAACTGACAAGCTGAAAACACTGACATCGTCAGCCAAAGCCCTACTGTAAAACTGTTAGTGGTTGTTTAGTGTTGCTTTCCACTGATTCCAACAAATGCACTACTAAATGAAAAGTCACTAATAAATTAATCATTTGGAAACACTTATAATAAGTATACCATAAGAAAGCACATATACAGATGTGGTCTTTTTTAATGCAACGCTCAGATAAAAGATGCAATGGATAAAATGTCTGGATTGGGATGAATCAACACAGCCTCAGGCTCAATCTAAGATGGATGAGTGTTTGCAGTGTTTTGGCTACTAATCTCGCTGCTTTAGACTGGCGAAACAGTGGTATGTGGAGATGCTGGTGGTCGAAGAGAAGCGACTGATCTCTGGCAAACCTCAGCTCCCACTTGGATGTCCTGGCCTTTGCTGCTGGAAAAGCCGTGTAGAGGTTGTGAAAAACTCTAGGCCACAACATCCATTAGTCAAAAGTCTTGTGGACGTATATTTCTTATGTGTTTTGTGGCCTTGTTTCAGAAACGTTCATTTTTAGTTTTTTCAATAACCACGCATAAACAATATTCTCTCAAAAATACAAACATTTACATACATGTTGCTCACATATTATGGTAGCCCTGTTTGTGCTAAGTATAGTGTAATTTCACCTGTGCCATTAATAGGTTTATAAGCAACTGAAAAAAGCACAAATGTCAGGGCATCTCAAAACATCTCAAGGACCCCAAATACACCCTAGACCTCAGAGGGTTAGAGCCCATGTGACTTAGCAAGATTTGTTTTACGATCAATCTGAAGGTTGTATATTTTCATATTTAGATCATCCAGAGACACAGGCAGTTCCTTAGGTTTGCTTTGGGGCAAAGCTTATCCATTTTTTGGCCATGGCTCTGTGATGTGTATGGATGCCACTCTATAGAGCCCCGTTGAGGCTCCAGTGTGTGCGGGTTTTGAGTCTAAGACTAAAACCTCAGAAGAGCATGCTGCTTAGGCCGGAGACACATGCAAATGAACTTAATCCATCTGCAATACTCTCTTAGAAATCTAACTACAGTAGTCAACTAACTAAGTGGATCAAAACCTTTCATCAAAATTATACCTGAATTTTGAAAAATACTCTTTGTTGATCCACTTTAAATGTTGACTACTGTAATTCCAAGGTTTTAAAGGAATATATATATGTGATGCGATCTGGGAAAAACCCACCACATGGTGAAATTTGACATATTACTGGTTTTGATACCATATTAAAGCTGGGTTCAAGCCCTTCCAAATCTGTTTTTAATTTATTTTATCGGTTGTCTGTAACAAAAGTTATGGTTATCTGAAATCGGCTGATCGCTATGATTTTCAGAAACAGAATTTTGAGAAAAACAGGTTTAAATAACATCCTGCTAGCTTGACGACTGGCGCTCCCTTTTTTTCATATCACATATTTCAGTAATCATCATAGATTAGGTATCATTCGAAAGATTACGAACTCAAAATTCATACTGTGAAAACCGTTTTGAAATTGGACGATTGAGAGGCGAGCAAGGTCTTTTAGACGAGCAGCTTCAAACTCCGTTGTTCTCTTGTGCTCTGCATCACATCACACGGTAACGCTAGATAAAAATAAATAAATAAAAACTTGCGTGCCGTTGTAGTTCAACCAGGAGTGGATTTTATTCTGTTATGTGGTTTATTTTGATAGGTGAACTGTCTTTGTAGTGTTAAGAGAAGCAGAGCTAAACGGGAGATTTGTGTTTCCCCCTTGTTAAAGAGAGTCTTTTCATCTGGACATTATAAATCGCTATTTTTCTGCACTAAACTAACTAATTTTCCCAAGTTATATTCAAAGATGATAAACAAGATGTTATAGAATAATAATTTACTAAAAAAAACTAATTTTGACAAAAAACTGACATTCAATCTATATTTAGACTTTACTGAAAACGTACCAGCGGACCAAAAAGGATATAAAAAGTGAAGTTTCCTAAATGTATTTTTTCTCTTTCCAGCACTCATTCCTGAAGCTTGCCAAACCCCTCTCCAGTTTGAGTCCGCTGATTGTAGCTGCCAAGGAAGCCATCAAGAATAGCAGCCGCTAGGATCTTCCCCCTACACACACACACACACACACATGCATACACATTCATACACACAGAGTGCAGGTACAGTGTGTTTATGTGTCATAGCACAATTACACAATATCTGAATCTGGACACACACAATAACATAAGCACATGCTTGCACATGCACTTACCCTTATAAGGGTGATTGACAGCAATTCAAGGCCTTTGGGATGGGATCGGCCCCTGCTGCCTGCCCTAACACACACACACACGCACACACACACGTTGTGATGTATGGAACTGCCGCACTAGTCCATCAGTGTGTGTTCACCTCTACACATCTGGAAAGGAGACAAACTGAAAAACAACTCCTGTTTTCCTTCTCCCTGAAATGAAAGATGATATGGATTACAGTAGACATTTCAAATCATCCAATCTCTTATTTAATCTATTCTGTACTCTCTTGGATTACAAGCAACCTTCTTTGGGTTTTACAGTTTTTCCTGTGCCTGAAGAAGTGTACCTCCAAATCTCGGGATCTCCTCAAGACATCTGCATGACTGTCTACCACAGCTATTCACAGCAATCATTTCCTTTCTACATTGTGTGCGCTAAATAAGAGAGCACACAACAGTATGCTTGAGAGAAAGAGAGAGAGAGAGAGCTTGAGAGCAAGAGACATAAGAACAAAGATTAATCTCACCAAAAACATGTCCAGGTCATATTTCGTCCCAAAATAAAAAACTATTCAGCATGAATTAAATTATGAATATTTTCAGGACTATTAATACTAAGATTTTTGGATTAAGACATTCAAACGAAGTCAAACACAAAAAAAAAGTAATCGATTTTTCTCCAAAATGTTTTTTTTTTTTATTACTGTAATCATTTTTTTTATCACTGTAAAAAAAAAAAATCATGATTTGTAATCACAACATTTTTTTCTTTTGTCAAATCAACTTAAATAATTTATGTAGTTCAGATAATATAATATTTTAAATTTTCTGATTAAATCAATCTCCTTCAGATGATTAAATCAATCTCCTTTTTTTCCATTTCAATGAACTCAAAATTTTAAGGCAACCAGGTTACTTCATTTTTTGCATACACTGTAAAAAGATATTGTTGGTTTAACTTAAAAAAGTAAGTAACCTGGTTGCCTTAAAATTTTAAGTTGATTGAACTGGAAAAAGTGAGTTAATGCAATGAAGGAGATTAGTGTAATCATCAGAAACTCAAAATAATAAGTTATCTGAACTAAATAAATTATTTAAGTTGATTTGACAAAAGAAAAATTGTTTAACAAATCTTGAAAATATTTTCTTTTACAGTGTAACATTTGAAACTGAGGTTTTTTTTATACAAGTCATAAATTAAAAACATGATCGTATGATATTTATTTTTTCTTCAAACTGATGAGGATATTTTTTCATTATAGTAAAAAGAATTATAAATACTTACATTTTTTTTTATTATTAAAAAATGCGCACTTCATCTTTGATTATGAAAATAATTGAACTATTCAATAAATCTTGGTTCCTAAAACAGGCTTCATTTTCTATAAGCAAAGTATATAATTCATATTTCTTGCGAATGTAACCTGGACGTGTTCTTGAAATATTTCAAAATATTTATTCAAAGATTCGTTATGTAAACCCCTACTGGATTAAACACAGATAAAAATCATTTGAAGAGCATCCTGACGTTGCTAGAAAGCACCTCTCTCTCTTTTTGTCACTCTCTCAGAATGGATTCACAGACTGCATTTTCTTACGCAATATTTCTGCCATAGAACCCAGCATTTAGGCATGAATACCACAACATATAGGTCTATACTATGCATTTTAAAATGAAAATGAAAAATGCTGAAAACCAAGCCATGAGAAGCCAAATGTAGAGCAGATAATGAGCTAACTCTTGGGCATTATGGAGTATGAAATCCATGCTGGTGTTTTGATATCTGCTCATCACACTATTAGAAAACATTCTGTACAATCTTTCAGAGAGCAGTGATTGGCTGAAAATATTTGCATGATGAAGGGCCATTCACATAAGACTCATTATTGTTTTTTCATGGTTGGCCATGCGGCACACATTGGCGTCAGTCTTTGGCTTTCCTGTTCAAGGCTCTACGCAATTACGCGGACACTTCAAGCCACGCTAGCCCGATTCCAGTGTCAGAACGCACTTCGTAATACAAAGCCAAGTACACATTGCATTCTCATTACCACAAGGAGTGCAATTTTAAGGGAATCTCGCTGGGCAAATTGCATCTTATGTAGCCAGGTACTTTGATGAAGGATATTTAAAGATAACTTTACTGCCTAGAAAATTGAGGTTTATAAAAGCATCAGTAACACAATAATGTATTGTACGTATTCAACATTTAGCATATGCACTGAGAGCGTGCATTCGTAATGTGTTTGCATACTTGCGTAGAGAATGCTCTGCCCAAGACTGGGTTGCAAACAGTTCCTTTCCATTCCATTGTGAACTCTAGATCGTATCTTGTGTGAATGGTCCCTAAGGCCCTCTTTACACCTGGTATTAAGATGCGTTTTGGTTGATCGGATCACAAGTGGACGACGGCAAGTACAGGTGTAAATAGGGTCTAAAACGTTTTGAGCTTGTCCACTTTCGACCACTTTCAGAGGTAGTCGAAAACGTATTGCTTTCATAAGCCCCTTTCACTCAGAGATTCCGGATTAATGTGACCCGGCATTTGTCCCGGGATTGTTTGATTTCGGTTCATTCACACTGCCAGTGATTTGCCGGGATCTGTGAGTGCGTTCACACAAAAGACACATGACGTCAGGATGAGACGTGTAACGTACGTGTCAAACACGTACACGCGCATACTGTTTCACAAAGCTGGTGAACGATCTCAGCTTCGGCACGGATAGTGAGGAGCTCCTCGTCTCTGCTTCGTTACAGTTTGCAGACATTTGTTGGTCCTTCTTTGTTGATGACCAACACAAACTTTCTTCTAAGAGCAACAGAGTCGCGCGATGGCACGAGCGTCATCACTATGACACACCCCTTACGGCATTGGTCCTGGCTTTTGTTCACCAGCGCGCGTTCCCGGGACTGATTCCGGCAATGTTACTATAGGTCCCCAACCTGGCATCGATGCCGGTATCAATCCCGGTGTTCTGACAATTCATGCTACCCATCGAGATTTCCTACTTGCCGGTTATGCGCATGTGCAGACTCACAGTTTTTTTTTTTTTTTTTTCAAAAGGTACATTTTCCTGTTATAGTGTATAATTTCCCTTTAAAAAATGCTTACTACCATATGACATGAATATTTGTACGGTCAGCCAGCTGAAAAGGAATAACTGAAAGTTTCAGTTACTATAAGAAAAGGTGTACTTTGACAAGTCAAAGATGAATATTTTATGATAATTTTTACTTTTCACACCGTTTTAAAAATAAAAACAGTAGTCTACAGTATACAGTAGCTACTCATAACTTAGAATTGTATTAGAATTGTATTTCATACGACTTTAATCGGCATTCTGTGATCAATTCGCGCTATGGTAGCATTTTTCGACAAGGCAGCAAAAATCGACAGAACACCGGGTCATGTTTGCGTTCACACAAAAGGCGTTCTGGCGATTTTCTGGGATCAACGCGCTGTGTGAAGGGGGCTCTAGTGTAAGCGTTCATATGGTCGAACGCATTCCAACAGCCACAAAAGATCGTCTACTCTCCGCTTAATGATCTAATGTGTAAACATGGGAAGCACACTAGCCTGGATGCCAGCCCGAACCCCGCCCACAACATTTTTTGTCTGGACCAAGTTCGGCCTTGACTCGATCCATTGAGGAGTAATTATGATCAGTCAAAAAATGTTCGGGCCAATCAGATTGCCAGGGCGGGCTTTATACGATAATGGACAGGTGATCTACTGGAGAATTGAGATGTATACAGTAGATTCCGCTATCGTGGATGTTGTAAAATAAATTTACTGCGCATTCATTTTAATAGATGCACAGAAAACTGCAATCAAGGCATTTGTCGATAGGAAAGATATTTTTGCCGTCCTTCTTGCGTGATTCGGCAAAATTGTAACTCATCAGCTGGCTAAGAAGATGGGGCGTAATGAAAAGCCTGTGGTCGTTGTGGTTTCACCTTTGGTTGCACACATGGAGGACCAAGTGAAAGAAGCAACACTCGTTTCAGACTCACGAGTATGGCGAAGGCTGTAGCCAGACTGGATTTAAGCTTTGTTAGCTGGAGACCCAATTTTGGTTTGAAGACTAAAACGTACCAAGCACAATGTTCTCTCAGCATTTCTAACACAGACTCGCACCGTTCAGCGTAGAAACAAAAGCTGATGCTCTCCGTATGTTTTGCCGTCGTCTTCGGTGTGTTCATATGTAAATTGTGCTCACTTATTTTGGCTATTAGATCGCAAGATCTAAAAACACCAGCTCATTGACCCTCCCCTTGAAGGAATCAGGAAGTGGACAAAAGTGGATTAAAACAGGTATAAAGAGAAATGTCCCTCTTCTACTTGTGATCCGATCGACCAAAACGCTTCTTGTAATACCCAAACAGGGCATAAGAGAACAGTCTGTAAATCCAACCCCCTTCCCAACTGTTGGCGCTCTTTAGTTTTTAAGACCTTCTGGTTTGCAACAAACATCAACAGGGGTGCTATTTCTGATGCCTTTTTCCAACTACGGTCGCAAATCAAAAATGTTTGATTTTCGCTGAGGTTATCTTAACTCTCCCTTGGTTTAAGAATATGGATTCAATACAGTACATGAGTAGAAGTCTTAAGTGTACGCCCTTGTAGTGGATGTAGGTGTCTGATAGATCATGTCAATTTGGTATCTTTCTTTACAAATGAGTGTTTGTGTGCGAGTTGTGCTATGTTTGTGCGTAGATAGGATAACCTCAGCCTGCTTTTAGTCCGTCTTTCAAATCACTGTGAAAATTCAGGATACTACACCTAGACTACCCTACCATAGACAGAAGGGTACTAGAGTAGATATAGAACAGTAGTTAGCGACAACCATAGACATCCAAAGGCATGAGTAGCAATATCTGTAGTGCTACTGCTTCAGTGTATGTCGCAATGGATGTCACGACCCCCCGCCTACAGTGAGAATCAAAGCAGGTCAATGGGAGTTTATTGTAGGAACCAGTTTCATGCATGACATTACTGAATTACTTTCCTTCAGCTCTGATAACCTTTGATAAGTTAGCATTACAAGAGGTATTTTGAGGATGATATTTAATGTACATTGTTGTGTTTTAATTATTTTTTATTTTTTTTAAATGAAACCTTACGACAGGCTGCTCTTTGATATGTATTTGTAAATATTGTGCACCCTGGTTCCAAGAAATACAACAGATCAAATCGATGATGGACATGGTTGTGCAAATCCCACATATAGCAGCATCTTGTGCCTGTCACGGAGACTACAGCCCCATTAACCAGACCAACACGACCATCATAAACACTATACTGCAGCCTTCACCTGTGTACTGGAGCCGATGTACACACTCTCAAAACACAATGCAAATTTATTTCTAGATTGTGGACTTGGTTATTAAAAGACCCTTCGTATTTAATCAGGGCTCGGCCCTGATGTGAACTAGGAGCACATGAAAAGCACCACGAATGTGGAAAGCGACTCACTCCAGGATTCCTCTCGTCTCTTGTAAATTCCCCTTTTCTTTTGAATGTGTGAACCCTGTACACGTGCTGTGACAAAATCCCTCTATTGGTGTCTAATATGAGAAAGAAACAAGACTGTACGTGCTTACGAACTCAAATGTTTTCTGTTTAAATTATTATTCTGATTACGA